AAACTTGTACATATTGGTATTTCCATGATAGGTAATTTATACTTAACTACGACTCAGAGGCAAATATTGTACTTGTTACTTCACTACATTCATTTGACAATTTAAGTTATTGGTTAATTTTAAGTAAAAAATGTAAATGATTAAATATGTTGCAGTACTACCCAACTAAACTCCAGTGGTAGCCTTTGTTAAAACTACAACCCCTAAAAGTATAATAATAACATTGTGAAAGGAGAAGAAATACCTTTACCATTGATACTTGTAAAGAAAATATTTCTGTACTTTAATTTAAGTAACAGTTGGAATTAAGGACTTTTACACACCATCTAGTATTTTTAGACTTGTTATTCTTTTTTTCTTTTACTTAATTAAAGATCTGAATACTTATTCCATCCACATGTGATTCTTTGATAAATAGCAGAGGAATCATGAGCTTTGTGTGAGCCATACAGTATTGCTTGTCAATAGAAATGATGTATAGAAAGCAAGGTTTGCTTTCATTGTAGACTTAGCTGTAAGCTATGAGGAAAATAGTTTGTTGTCTTTATCTTCACTTTGAAAAATGTAAATAGTCCCTTTGTGAAAATCTTAATAGAGGAATTCAACGGATTAAACCAGTGATGAAATATAGCCTACTTGTAATCCAACAAAGTGAAAATTAATCTGAGACACAAGCAGTTAATAGAGTGAAACAACTTTAGGAAATAAATACAATATACTCAAAAAAAGCAACTGTGGGCCTTTAATATAAATGTTTAAGTAGATGTTGGTTTGTATGTGTGTTCCAAATCTAGGTCCCTGTTCTGTCATGTTATAGATTTGGCGTGTGTCCGAGTGTCTGTTTTCATGGTTGCCCCGACGATACAGCCCGAGCCTTTACCAAGGGCTCCAGCAGGAGCAGCTGACAGAAATAGAGCCGGACTCTACCCAACCCTCTTTCGGGGCAAGGGGGAGGAGATGGAGAGGGGAAATAGTTTTGGAAAGGGCAATGGAGCAAGATCACCAGAGTTCATTGAAACTCAGAGGGAAAGTGGAGGAGGGTTGTTTACATTGCTACAAGGTTGATGCGAAGGAAAAACAACTGAATGAATGGCAAACAAACATTAAACATGTTCTCTACAAGCCAAGATGAAGCATTTTAAATCAGAAAAAATAAAGACATTATGACACATTTACACACTTTTTGTCACAATTTGGATTAAATGCGATGTGTGATGCAATTACATAATTTTTTTTTATTATGACTTTATTTACTACTGAAATATATGACATTATGTTGTCATGTAGAGTTGATCGCATTTCTAAACAGCAGAATAAGTCTTGTCACTCGCATTTTGACACACTCTTTTGCCCTTGCTCGGTGATGGATACCTTGTGCAATGACTTACTGACAGGTTTATGTGTCACTGTCACATGTCCAGTGATAAACATGCCAGTGAATTTCTCCCACTGAGCAACAGATTACAGCAGTGGAAAAGGTTGCTTGACGTAATCCCAGTTATCAGTTTGTAATTATTAACAAATAACCAAGGGCCAGCTACTGCATGCCATGAGATCATAGTTGACATGAGGTTTACTTCATATTTAAGTGGCCATGTTTTCACCATGATATCGTGCAAATGGAAAATAAATGCATATTTTGCATGAAGACATTGGTAGGTTTTGTCCAAAGTGAAAAAAACATAGGGGAGACACTACAGTGTGAAATTGTTACTTATAGATATCACCATGAAACCCGACCAGTTGATTACTTACATTCAGATTTTTTTAATGTGAAATACAAGTTTTCTGAAATTTATTAAATATGTGCTAACTCGCCCACATTACAAAAACTGAAATCCGAGCAATGGATGACGTCATGTTCACAATTCTATTTACATTTGTTGACATATAAAATTGAAAGGTTTTTAAAGGGAGAAAATATTTTTGTGTCACTACATATAAGCAAATCCTGTCGTAAACAAAAATATTTGTGTTTTTTGGTTTCAAATGTAATGTATACAGGCTATGCCTATGAATGGTATTCGAACAAACTCCTCTGTAAAATATTTAAATATAAATATAAATGGACTGGAAACTTTGGTGTATGTAAGGGCTGCAGAGGTGGACATTCTTAACTCAGAGTATGAGAAACCAATACGAGAACATTTACTGTTAACACATGAATTATTAAATGAAACATTATTCTTTAAGATGTATGCCATGTAGTTGCTTATTGTATGTTGATATAGCTCTGTTCTTCCCGTGGGGGAGGGGGAGACGTCCCCTCTACTCCACTAGGGGTCTCTGTTTTCTGTCCTTGGTGGCTGTTTTTTTGTCTTGCATTCTATCCAAATAATATTATAGTTGTGAATTTTGTGTCCACAATAATCATGTAATGAAAATCTGATAATGAGACAGCCCCAGGTCCATTCATAATACAATACAAAATATATAGCTATATCGAGTTCTCAGTTCTCAGATGAGCCACACCTGCGCGTGGGGGGTTTCAGAATATACCGTTTAAGGTCACTGCCTTCCCCAGAGCTCTTTTTTTGGACACATCTGCTGTTTTGGTTGTGTTAGCTGCACATTTCCACACACCCATACATGACTGATTACTGACCTCCATGTTTGTTTCTCAGTTTCTTGTTATGTTGTACATAAATCTGCAGGGCTGTAACAAAGTGGAGCCCAGACATCAGCTGCTTAACACACAGAGCTGGAATTACCCTAAGCACTAAATCGAAGTAGTATCCAAAGGTTCCGCTAAAAAAAAGGCTCACTTCAAGGAATAGTTAGGGCTGCCTAAGGGTGGAGGTATCAAACCCAAAACTGATGCTTAAAGAATTGAATCACTGTCCCACTAACACACTTTCTGCCAGAGTGAAATAGTCCATACAGGGTCAAAACATCACTGCAGTCGTTCTATCTAACCGTTTGACCAGAAAACTAAACTAAACTCCACCCTGGTCTTCAGATGCTACTTATAAAAGGTATTTATGTGATGTAGCTGCAAGCATGATAAAGCCACCAACAATTGGCTGTGCTCCCAAAACTGACAAACCAAATGCACATTGGTGCCCATCGCAGGATAGTAGGCCACATGGCATAATAACATATAGGTGTACCGGTTTGTGTGCATGTGGAACAAAAGACTCATACCCTCTTCTCTCTTAGCGCCAACCAAAACACTGGATTATCATTTCCAATATAAAATAACCCCCTATGCCCGAAAGGAAATATGCACATTTTAGAAAGGCAGCCAAGTGATAACGTATAACCCTGACTTTGTGCAAAAGGCTATCTTATCACCTGGTCTGTCTGGGTCCAGAATTTGATTTAGGGCACAGTAACATTTGGAGGACAGCCAGTTTACATTGTGAGATCTTATTTGATGAAATGTGGTTAGTCAAATACTGAGCACATGTTTGACCCTGCTCCGAGATAATGAGTGAAATCATGTAATTCTGAGCTTCCCGCCCTAAAGTCGGTAGTTAACGTTGATGGAATGCAAGGTTGAAGCCAGACGAGTGCAAGGCCGTGGGATCTGACCAGCTGAGCAGACCTACATTACTAACCTACATATGACGCATAGAGACCTGCTTATTTGTATTTACCTTGACATCAGCAATAGCTTTCCAAGTGTTGGGGTCACCAGTGTTGAAACAAATATTGATGCCAATTATTTTACTCAAGTTAACACGTACTAATTCACGATTAAATATCTGAGATAACTGCCTTGTTGAAAACCAGCAGGTGTGTCCCCCCCCTCCTCACATTGCAGAGTGGTTTCAATATGCCTGGCCTTTGGAGCTGCAGTTGACCTAATTCCTAAAGGCCATCTCCTACAGTCAGACGGCCTAATCTACAAATCAGCGTCTGAAAACAAACAGACGCACCAAGCCCTGACCCTGGTCAAGAGGATGAATACATAACAGTTCAGGGGTCTGGAGATAGCCTTCAGCCTCTCAGCACTGTATGCTAATGGTGCACTTTGATTCTAATACTGTACGAAGGTATCATGACTATATAAGTTTTACATTTGTTTCCAGGGTGACTGAAACATCTGTCAAGGAACTACATATGAAAAGTGTGCTCTTGGCTCACCTCAGCGCATCTACAGCAACGTTTATAATGTGGATTGTTGCTATATCAGATTTTCACTACATGATTATTGTTGCCAAAAGAATTAAGAATGTGTTTGATCCAGAAAATGGTATGAATGTTATCAGTACATTTATTTCTTTTTGTTTGTGACTCAACATATGGGTGCAGTACTCAGGGTTGTATACAACTAAAACTCAATAAATATTCAAGGTTAAAAACTCATAGGTAGGTGGAGTATGTAAACATAACTACTAAATCACAAAATATAATAATTTGACATCTAGGCATCAGTATGAACTGATGAACAAAAGAAAATCACATGGTCAGTATAATCATATTAGTATTCTTTAAATATCAATATTTATTTCAGTTATAGTTGATACTGGCATATTGCATCATCCCGTATAAGAATCATTTGTGGTTAATTAGTCATCAGACCTATTTCTTTAGATATTTCAGACTGTGGCATCTCAAGCAACAAAGATTATACTTATGTTTGACTTAAATGCTAATAACTTAGCCTGAGGCTTAACTACTTAACCAATCCATGACAGAGGGGCTAAGTGAGGGGAGTTGACTCCAGTGCACAAAAACATACCATTCTATATGTGAGGCCTTATGCAACTGGTTAACTCTCAACACGTTTCTGGGGCCACATGTTTTTCCATTACACAAGACAAGCTCTTATTGAAATATAGGCAGACCTTAACAGACCACAGATTGACTCAGTGTGCTGTTATAAAATAAAAGCATTGAGCTTCAAGGGCCAGTTCGGGAAAAACATTTAAACTTAAAATTAAGTAAAAAATGTGTGAAAAAAAGGGCCGTTACATAATATACATTTTTTATTCAGTTTACATAATAGATTCACAGGACAATATACATTTAATAAAAATAACCCACACAAGCAGTTTGACAGGTCTGAATAGCCTTTAGTTGAAATTATTCACATTTCAGCTTTTCCTCTGTACAATACAGAGTAGAGCTGATTTTCAGTAGGCCCTGACCCCCCCGATATTAGGAGACACTTGCTTGCCCATCACAAAGAAAGTAAGCCATCCGTTTGGGAGAAATACAACAAAAAAACTGATGCCTGCAGTGAAAAACTCTACATCTCTTAATGTAATCATCTCATATTCCCCCAACTTAAAAAATAGGCTACATTGTACAATGTTATTTACAAAAGATTTAAAAAAAGTGAAATCAAAATGGATTTTATTCAATCCTGCTGCAGCTCTGAGGTGAGTGAGCAACCAATCAGCCCGTTAAATAGCATTTCTTTGCTTTTTTTAGGGTTCAAAACACCCTATAGTTGAACTTTTCTTTTTGGTTCCTCACAAAGGCGTTTAAAAAAAGGTGAAAAAAAGCTTTATATGTAATGCATGACAGTCATTAATGACCTTGGAGGTGTTTTAACTAATAACTCTCCACAGGAGGTAATAATGGAGCTCAGATGTCCATCTCAAACTGGTTGTCATCTGTGGAGGAGAAGGAAGAGGAGAAACGGTTAGGGAGGTATTTGACAATCAGCTGACAGTTAACATGTGTTCACAGCCAAAGCACAGCCACGCCTTAACGGACCTGGAGAGAAGACGACAAAGTACAGACCTTATCGATGCTTTCATAACTGGTGAGATAAACAAAACAACAGTGGACTGAATGGGTGCAGCTGGGAATCCAGACTACGTGTCCTGTTTGTTTACCAACCAAGAGAGGGAACACAATAGGCAAGGGTCAAATCTAATCCCTGTGGTCTCTGGTTGACACGAGGAATGGAGGGTGACAGTTTGATGTATTCTCCTCAAATATAAATATCCGTCTCAACTTGCTCATGAACCCGAACCTTTGGTAAACACTGCCGAAATGAGGTGTCCTCTCACACAACCAGGAAAAAAACACATTTACTAAATATACAGTAATATCGTCACCCCTCACCAACAAATTAACAACTGACAGTAGGACCCTAAAATGTAGAGAAACGTTCTTAAATATATATATTATTTTTCCTATTATTGATATTACAGACTGTTGCTTAGCATCTTCAGACTGAAACAAGAATGTTGTGCAATAGACACTTTATTTGCATTTCAACTTATGACTGGCACTACAATTCTTTTATTTGTTCACTTTAAATGTGTTGTTACTGTCATTTGTTTACCTTGTTCTTAAGTGTTCTTAAGTGTTTGGGTTTATTAACATGTGCTTGCCTTTTATTATGTTAGTCTACCCTTTTATTTATGCATTTTATCTGCTCTGTTTCTTTGCTGTAACAAAGTAAATGTATCCAAAGTGGGACAACTAAAGGATATCTGATGGTGATAGCTGCGTTTTGTGATTATTGCGTAATAAGTCACTAGCCTAGTTTCCAAAGCATGGTAATACCGATGGAGTCGAATTCCCTGAAAGACTGAACTAACACGTGGGCCGTGGCGATAATGACTGAGCACTCCTGCCCCGACCTTCAACACAGTTGTGCTGCAAGCAAATGCAGCCATGATATTGCTGGGACACATGCTGCACCTAACTGCAGTACATGTTTGATACTCATGACGACATAACATTCAGTTAGTATCTACAAGAAAAAACTTAGCAAGTTCCTGAAAACAGGGCTGCACAGTTCATTGAAATTCTATCTTAGTTGCACTATGGATCTATATTCAAATCACAGGAAGCACAATATTTGTTGAATGCTAAATACATGTTTATATATTATTATGAATTAAGTACTGTGGAGCTGCAGAGATATCCCAGCCTATAGACTAGGGCTGTGCAATTAATCGTATTTTAATCTCGATTACGATTTTGGCTTGCAACGATTACGAAAACAGCGTAATCGAAATAAGACGACTATTTTGCTGCATTCCCTTTCGCAAAGATGCTCTCAATTTGTCTTGCGTTATACATCCTGCCCGCGCGTGCGCTTTCGCCCCTCCCTAAAAGCCCTCTCAGCCAGGTTGTGTTGTGACTTGCAGTCTGTTTAATAAATCCATATAAACACGTTACAAGGGAAGCTTTAGTTGCCGTGTCTTTATTCTCCGGTCTCTAGCGTACAGTCAACTTTTACTAACTCGTCAAGCCGGAGCCTCTTAGCTACTTCCTGTTTCCGGATAAGGGGTTACCAAAATAAGAGTACTGCGTGTAGCAGTATAATTAAACATTACAGGTTTTGAGTGACATTAGCTATCATATTTATATATGTTTAGTAGGTTGTGGAAGTGCGCTCCAAAATATTTGTTGATCTTTATTGGTATTTGTTATTTTTATATTATTTATTTAAATGTAGATATAAATGTATAATATATGTTTTTTTTATTGGTTTTTCAGTTGAATTATACTTAAAGTTCAGGGTAATCAACTGTTAAAAACATACTGTTCAAATTATTGTTATTTTTTTTTTTAAAGTTCAATAAATGGATGTTTTCAAAGTCAATTAATAATCGTATTTAATAATCGTGATATCAATATTGACCAAAAATAAATCGTGATTATGATTTTTGCCATAATCGAGCAGCCCTACTCCTTGGACCAGTGATCTTGGGCACCGCAGTTATAGCAGTTCTGGTTCCTGGGGGAACCTCTGCCTCTGTATCCGCCTCTTGGCCCTCCTCCTCTAGGTGCGCGGTAATATGGTTGCTGGGCGTATGGTGCTCCTGGCCATATGGACCAGTCGGGTTGTGGTGCTGGTGGAGCAGGTGCGGTCATAGGTTGCTTTTGCTGCTTTTCCTTGTCTTGCCAAAGTAGTTGTGCGACGATATCTTGTATGTCAACTAGGGCTGTGCAATTAATCGTATTTTAATCTCGATTATGGCTTGCAACGATTACGAAAACAGCGTAATCGAAATAAAACGATTATTTTGCTGCATTCCCTTTCGCAATGATGCTCTCAATTTGTCTTGCGTTATACATCCTGCCCACGCGTGCGCTTTCACCCCTCCCTAAAAGCCCTCTCAGCCAGGTTGTGTTGTGACTTGCAGTCTGTTTAATAAATCCATATAAACACGTTACAAGGGAAGCTTTAGTTGCTGTGTCTTTATCCTCCGGTCTCTAGCGTACAGTCAACTTTTACTAACTCGTCAAGCCGGAGCCTCTTAGCTACTTCCTGTTTCCGGATAAGGGGTTACCAAATTAAGAGTACTGCGTGTAGCAGTATAATTAAACATTACAGGTTGTGAGTGACATTAGTTATCATATTTATATATGTTTAGTAGGTTGTGGAAGTGCGCTCCAAAAATATTTGTTGATCTTTATTGGTATTTTGATATTATTTATTTAAATGTAGATATAAATGTATAATTTTTGTTTTTTTTATTGGTTTTTCAGTTGAATTATACTTAAAGTTCAGGGTAATCAACTGTTAAAAACATACTGTTCAAATGATTGTTTTTTTAAAGTTCAATAAATTGATGTTTTCAAAGTCAATGAATAATTGTATTTAATAATCGTGATATCAATATTGACCAAAAATAATCGTGATTATGATTTTTGCCATACTCGAGCAGCCCTACTACAGACTGAACCAAACGTATGTCTGGTGACGAGCCTCTTGATCATTTTAATATATTTTTCAATAATGACGCAAAAATGAACAATCGCTTTTAAATCGTAATAACCGCAATTATTTATTTTTGCCCCAATTCCTGCAGCCCAACACATCTGTAAAATCCTTCTATGCATCGGGAAATTGATATGTGTTGTTCACCTCTTTCATATTAATTATTTCATAAAACCACAAATGAATTAAAGATATATAGACATGGACTGAACTGTGTGTTTGTTTACTGGTTAAGTCCACTCATAAAAAGCAAGCGCTAAATAGTTTACCTGCAATGTCTTTCTCTTCCTCTTCCTCCTCCTCTTTGAGATCCTGCAGTTTCCCCATGGGGTGTGAAGCAGGTACTGTTACCCCGGGGATCTGGGGCAGACAGCATGGGGGGGTCCGGGCGATAGGAGAGTTTCGACAATCCATTAAGAACTTCCTGTCGTAGATGATGCGTGTACCTGTGTTTATGAGAGAATAAAAGAAAGAAAATATTGTATTTGTCCTGGGGTAAACAAATATAAAACATACCAACTGCTGGAGTATCTAATTTATGATTATTCTTACAAGTGTATCATGGCATGGTGTACATCTGGGGAGTGTTGTATCAGTATCCTCTACAGGAGGGGGTTTCAGTAGGATTCTGTTTGCGGTGCAGAGGGGAGGGCTGCTATGAGTTCTAGGAAATCAGAGTACAAAACCTTCTCTCTTTCAAGGGAGAGGCCTTGAGATTAAAACCACATGTTTGTCCTTTAACTGGGGAAACTCGATTGGCAGATGCGATATGTTTAGGTCTGCATCCAGGAACTGCTTTTCAAGTTTTTCCTCACAGCTGTGCCACGTATTAATCTCCACACAAACAGTGCTGCAACTCTCATGCGTGTCACCACTTGAACTCGGGCCAAACGAAAAAAAACAGCCTCATAAATGGTGTGTTGTGATAACTTTGACCAGGATGTGACTCGAGTCAAGGAGGGGACTGCTGCTTCTTTATTAGAGTTTGAACTAGCTCAACCTCGACACGAGGAAAAACAAGTTATGTAATAACTGTGGTGAGCAGCTCTTCCAGGACAAAGGAAAGCGGAGGGAGAACTGGGGCGAGGAAAGAGGGCTGGAATGCAAGCTATAGGCTAGCAATGCATTTAAAGCTTTAGAGTGGGTTATGTAAAAGAGGGTCCGGGCTAGCAACACATGGCAGGACCCCACTATAGGGACATGTGTTGCACATAAAGAGGAACAAGTCAAAACTGAGTTGCAAGTTGTTGTGCAATGTTTACCATAGTGATCAATGTTGGGCACACATTGAAACGGTATTTATTTACACTTGTCATAGTCCCCATGTATTAGACATTTCCTTTGCCCCTCCCCTTCCACCGCCTCCTCTTGTACAGAATGTTCTCTACAGTTCCTGAAATGCAAAGCAGACAGCAGAGGGGATAGGACGGCCTCCACCTCCTCCACCATGGCAGGGGCCAATCACTGAACACAAACACACCCTCTTTAAATCACAAGTCATGGGTTAGACAGCTATGTTGTCTTTAGACTTACGTGTGTGTTTTCGATCCAGCAAGAAGTGACTGTTCAGCCCTCAATGCGTGTTTGTTTTTGTCATGTCAAGGTTCAAGCTGCCATTAGAAAAACATACTAGACATATCTGTTATTGTGTAGTATTTTACATTGTATTTACTTGCTTGTAAAGCGCTTTGACCACCAGGAAAATCGCTATATAAATGTCATGTATTATTATTATTATTATTATTATAGCAGTTTAAAACGTTATTATATAAAAAAAACTCTTTAGCTCAACACTAAGTGTATGTGCATTTCCATCAAAAAGCATTGCAAAAAGTCCTCAAATGACAGTTAGCTTGTTGACAACATGAGAGCTGCAGCCAACTGTCACCGTGCAGAATGTGAGCTACGCGACATTTGTATACAACTTATATCCTGTCATTGGTAAATTATAGTTAGACAATCACTTTGACACGCGTTTCAATCACTCTTGTACTGTTTGCAGCTTCTTGTCGTTGGGTTGTGTCTATTTGCACGAATTCACACACTTTTTTTTAGCTAACTTTTTCTGGAAAGTTCCGTGGTGAAAACTAATTTCCGAAAACAACAGTAGCCTGGGTGAACCCTCGAGAGAAAGCCTTGCACCCCGCGAGTCTTACCTCCAGGCGTGGTGGAGAACAGGGTGCCCCCGGGTGTCTGGCTGTAAAGGTCGGGTAGCTGGGACCAGTCCTTCAGGGTGAGCACCCTGGTGGGGATGGGGCAGCTTTTAACTTCATTTGAGCCGGTCGACATGATAGCTTCTGCGTGGCTGCTGCAGGCGGAGTGGGACAAGTTACAACTGTTTGTCAAAGTCCTCAAACTCGCTATATAACGCTCGCGCACAGCCTTGAACGCTGACTTCAAAGTTGTAATTGTTTTACAACTTGCAGAAATGAAAGTAAACGTTGTGCTTTAACTTGTAAACAAAGAATTCCAAAAAGTTCAGAGTATGGGGCCCGGTGGTGTCCGTCACTACAAGCAGCTACCAAACGCTACCATGTGCAGTATTTGTAACACACACAGCTGAAGCAGCCACTCGTGATGTTTTGTGCAACAGCCATGAGACACGTGGTGGTGCAACGGCTTTGGGTGCGAACGTTTTTCTATAAAGAGACAGTCCGTGAGGGCGGCGGTGGTAACATTGAAGTGAAAAAATGTAAACACTGTCACTCATTCGCCGCATACACTTCAAAATAATTATGTTCAGCCGTTTATTTTGGGTGCATATTATATTGTGAATATTGAAATTGCATCATTTTCACAGCGGGTTCAACTATAAAGGGCGTCTCTGGTTAACAAAACAAGCGCACCTCCACCTCACCCGTCTACTCGACAACACTGCCTCCTACAGGTCCACTGCAATGCATTTAAAATGTTTTGTTGTTAAAAAATATGTTTGACACAAAATTAAGACAACACAATTACGTAACACACAACTTGTAATAACTCCACATAAGGTACACAAGGCTCCCAGTATATAGGAAATTAGGGAGACAGTTTGTTATTTTAAAATCCCGCTTCTTTTAGTTGTTAATGTTTAGTTGGGACAATTCTGTTGTGCTATAAAATAAAAACTACTTTGCAATTGACATTTACATTTTCAATTTGTTTCAGGTTCCCCACGAATAAGTTATTCTCATTTTCCACCGCTTGAGGGCGACATCGAGATGAAGCTGGTTTTATGCATACATATTGCAGTATACTGGGCCACTATGTGTTGTTGTACAATTATAAAGAGGCTAAAAACAACAGTTTCTAATGAACGTACTAAATAATATAAATAATATTGGTTTTAAAAAAGGTAAAATGCCTAAGTCTGTCAATTCGCTTGCATTTCGTGAAAGGTTTTGGAGATACAAATGTCGCAATATGTAACTTACACCGTGTAATGTGAAGATCTCTGATGTGAACGAAAATGCGTTTATTTCAGAGAATAACTATTTGGATTCTCCAGTGCACTTCACTTCACTGAGACTAGTCGAGACTATGTTCGACGTTTTTTATGTCTTAAGTTATTATTAAGGTGTTCAAATTATATATATTTTTATATGACCTACTGAAATATATATATACCTCTCTTTACAGTGTTTTGCTATATTTTAATCAAAAACAAAAGAGGGGGCATGTAATTCATGGGTGTATAAAGTGAAGAAATACCATAACATTATTGACACAACTACGTGACGGGCAGAACATCCGAGGAACAGAGCAGCACTTTTTTCCTATCCGGGCAAATCTGCATCGGCTGCTGATTGGTCCAGAAATATGGAATCAGATGACGTAGTAGTTCCGGGTTTCTAGCTCTTCAGAAAAGGTAACTCTCGGTCATTTCTGGTAGAGACACGACTGACCCGGTTTTCTTCTCCTCTGAAGGTAAGAAAGCCTCCAGCCTGCCAGATAAGCAGGGTATCACTCTCTGGCTGACTGCTGTAATCTCATTACTGCCTAATATCTGTTTGTAGAATTATGTTCGGGCTAATTTGTGTGGGCATTTTTGAATTGGTTTAAGCTACATCCTCTGTAGCTAACGTTAATCAACGTGCCAACGGTTACTCAATGATGCTGTGTAGCGTGTGGAGGCTTTTGTCATCATCTGCGTCGCTCCTCACCCATTGTCAAATAACCCGCTAAATGACGTATCAATAGATACATTGAATTGGGTTATTTTGAGGAAAGACATTTCTGATAGGTTCCTTTTTTATAGGTTTATTTTACATATCGCTTTTTGTTCATTCAAGAGGTTTTTGAACATGACGTTCTGTAAAAACTTACAATTTCATTGTAAGACATCGCAATGTATATAATTAATATTCATAATATTTGTTCTAAATGGCTACGTTGCCATGGAAATAACACATTCATAATGTTGGTTTGATTCAAAAATATTCCACCTCTTTTTTGATACCGTGTAACATAGGCTGGGTTTAACACACCATGCCTCTTTAATAAGGGACCCGCGTGCCACAATATTTGCATCGCTCCAGCCATAACGCTGTATTTGCAAATAAGACCAACTAATGTTCCATCCCGATGCTAAACAAAAACAGGAACGACTGGTAGCTGAACACAATGTTCTTTATACCCTGGGAGTGTCTGCTTCATACTGTTATTACTGAGGAATGTTTAATCGTTTTAAACTAGTTTTTTTACTGCTGTGAATTACAATCTGCTTGGCTGTGAAGGCACACGCACACGCTGTGGCATGCGAACACAGCACCCCACTCTTTATTTATCCTCTGGAGTGCATCCAGATTTTGTTTACATACACACACATGTGTGACGTAGATTAGAGCTATGATTCACTCAAATGTGAATCACGCCATGTGTAAAGCAAGTCTTCAGGAAAATGCTGGGACAGGTTACAGCATCGAGGAAGATTTAGGTTTGGGTAATGTAGCTGAGTCATTTTCCTGTAAAATGTTGTGAAAGTCATAGCTTTCAATATCGAATTTGTAATATTAAAGTAGGTTAAACGTGATAGATGTAAACTACACTTCATTACACTCTTTGGTTGTATTCCTTTTTTATTTAGTTGCTCTGATGTTGGAAACCAGTTTAAAGTGCCATACTTAGTTGCATCCCCATCCCTCTGAAACTAGTAAAAAGACTAAAACATACACTAGTTTTGTCAGTTTACGCTCCGTACCCTCCACTGAAAGGTTATTAGCGAGCTCAGCTTGACCTAAAGTGACCTTACACTGGCCACTGCGTGGGGTGAGCTTCAAGAGTATTGTCATTGGTTGTCCGCGGCTCACTGCTTTCAGGCAAAACTCACAGTGGTGTAGTCATCGGACATTGGGCACTCTCCTTACCCAACTTCCCCATTCATGACGTATCTGATAACTTACCCTGTGTTGGTATAAGGAAGACAGTGAGAACACTACTAAGGGAGGGATATTGTAATGAAACACACCCTCTAAGGATGAATCACATTGTGCCTTGGAGTCTGACAGACATACAGAAGCTGTCTGGTACAGACCGAACAAGGTGAGTCTAGGATGAGGACAGAGTGTATTCTTAGTCAACATAACGCAATCATATTGCGTGTAAAGAGTAGCTTATCAAGGGATTGGTTTGAATGGCTTTCAGATGGTAGATAACCTTAAGTAATTAGATTAAATCTTTGATTCGCGAATAATGGTTTCGCCAAGCTTCTGTATTTTGTTTCTGAGAAGTATGCCACCAGACTGTCTTTGGTTACCAACTTCCTCTTGCAGACAGCTGTCGTCACATGGCTGAAAGTGGGTTTGAACACTTGAAATTGAGTGTCCTCATAGTTGGAAAGTGTTTGGATTTTTAACAGAGTGTTTGGAAATGTAATTGTCAACCTTCTGTTAAATGCTGGATAATTGTTTTCATCTGATTTTAAATGTGAAAAGAATTATCTTAATCAGGATATAGTATATACATATGGAATTTACCATGGCTTACATGCTGAGAAAGCTTGAATTGTTTTAAAAGGGCTTAAATCAGAGTTTGGCAAAAGGTGTATGAACCCTGTTAAATGTTATTATCTCATATGTGCTTAAAATGAATTTTCTTTTAAAAGTTTTTCTTTTCTGCTGTATTCCATCTTTAGGTGCGACATCGTAGGGAGAGTGGACCAAACATTTTCATACTACAATTGTGGGACAAAAGTGTTTACTCTAGAGGGCATTTCTCTTTCTGAGGCTTCCAGTCCAACACATTAAAATAATTTCTGGGACCAGCACACTTTTCACAACCAGCCTGACCACGGCTGCTCCATAGTCCCCTTCCACACGCACTCTCCCAGAGACCAGTATGGGTCTCCAGGCAGACTCCACCCTTCAAACTGTCCTCCTTTTTCCAGTCCACTTTCTGGTATGGCTGTACTCCGTCGTGTCCTTTCTTCCCTGGTACTACATCACCAGTGCCGGCGAGAAAAAAGCTCTGTCGAAGAGGGTGAAAGCCCGCTCCACTTCAGGCTGTGCCGAGGGACCGTACCGCTCCGTGGATCAATTTGAGTCCTTGGCCAGGGAGGACTTCCCCGGCAAGGACACACTGGATAAGCTGATGTATCACGCTGTGCAGCGCTTTGGAACAGAGCACTGCCTCGGCACCAGAGACCTTCTGAGTGAAGAGAATGAGATTCAACCCAGCGGAAAAGTATTTAAAAAGGTGAGGATTCTCATTATATTACTTTTTAAATTATTGATGAAGGATGCTTGCGAGGACAAAGATGTCTAAAGTTACATCTGACTCTTCCCTTTCTTAGCTGATCCTGGGGGATTACAAATGGCTCTCCTACAACGAGGTGGACTCTATAGTCAGTGAGTTTGGGAGTGGGCTGGCAGCCCTGGGGCAGCAGCCCAAAAGCAGTATCGCAATATTTTGTGAAACAAGAGCCGAGTGGATGATCACCGCCCAGGCATGCTTCAGGCGCAACTTCCCCTGTAAGTATAAAACACATCATATGGTACAGTGCAGGATGTTATAACTGCTGATTAAATGTTTCCACTCACTGTGTGTTTTGTTTTCACAACAGTGGTGACCTTCTATTCCACACTGGGAGAGGAGGCAATTGCTTTCGGTCTGAACGAGACCGAAGTTACACATCTAGTTACCAGTTCAGAACTGCTCCAGACCAAACTGAAAGTGAGTTAATCCCTAACGGCAGAAGAGGAGAAGAAGTGAATAGTCAGGAAACAGCTTGTCTATCTTTATTACTAATCCCAGTAATCATAATCATATGACACTCTTAAAGGTGGGGTAGGTAAGTTTGAGAAACCGGCTCTAGATACACTTTTTGTTATATTCCATGGAATGCTCTTAACATCCCAATAGCAATGCATATCTTAAGTGCTTTGACAAAAAATCCATAAAAAAATGTCATCTGTGGAAGCCGTAGTACGGTAAAAAGTACGACCAATCATTTTAGCCGGCCCGGCTAAAATAACTGGATGGCCTACCTGCCTGTCAGCCTTCCATCTGTGCACAAACTTATCTTGTGCCCTCATTGGTCATGTGCGAGTTCGTGTGTGTTGGAGGAGGGGCTCTGTAAGGAAGTGGCAGATTTTTT